TCGTGATGAAAAATAGAAACTCATTCATTCTTGTTCATCTTATCTTTGACCTTGTTCAAAACCGATTCAAAATTTTATTCGCTACTAACCTTGCTCGCCTTTACAAATTGTCAATTTACAATTTGCAAATTGACATTAACTCACGAAATTAGCGCAACAAAAGAACCAATCAGCATCGCGGAAAAGCGGCAACAATAAACTTCGAGAAATGCGAGTAATCGACTTAACATCTCCTTTTTTATAAAGGATAAGAATGGAGACAAAGAGAAGACTTTTGATAATTCAAATTTCAATTACCAAAAATTAAAAGTTGTAAACATTCAACATCGCGAATCAATATATCTATTATTCTAACATAAATGTTTATTATTCCATTATAAATGTTTTATAATCAGAAAAAAATTGTTACAAATATTAACAATTATACATTTAAGAAAAGAATTGATATCATAAAGTTACTCCAAGTTGAATAAGATGAGGAAAATGTGGAAAATAAAAATATTTTAAATATTTTAAATATTTTAATTTTTTAAATATTTTAAAACAAAAACAATTTAAAACAAAAACGTACTGATATAAGAAATATAGCCTATCAAGATAATAAAATAAGTAAATAAATATCGTAAATATGTTATAAAATTTTTTATCTCTATCATATGAAACTTTTTGCATTGTTTCATCGATGTCTACAAAAACCCCGTCGAATCCCATATTTCATGGCCTCAACATCGAACCTCGCGTCAGAGACGAGAAGACGATCATCGGAAGTGCCCTACGTCGAGGAGAACCGCCGTAAATGCAATCGCGGGGGTGGTCGCGTGCCAACCGCGCCGGAACGCCAGGCTCGCTGAAAATATTCTCTCTTAGAAAAACCAATCGGTCGGAAACGAGCCGATAGCCGAGGAGCCGAAGGTCGAAGGGCAAACGGCGAAACGGTCTCGGGAGAATGGGCAAAGGCGACGATGAAAGGGCCGTTGGAATGTGTGCCGACAGAAGCACATCGTCGCCGAAGAACCTAATTGATATGAGTAGATAAGGCGCTGACGATAAGAAACGAGCCATGAATTCGAGACTCCCCACGAAATTCCACGCCTCATTCGCGGCAATTCCGTCGTCGTCACTGGAGCCTTTCTTCTTCGCTCCGTCATTTCGTTGGAGTATGTCATTCGGCAACTCTAAGAATGTCATAGAATTTTATTGAATGTGGACTCGGGTTGCTTAACGATGACATCAACTGAGCATTTAGAAGAAACGAAGAGAGGAATTCTCAATTAATATATTAAAACTGTGTGTTTTAGTTGAAGCACATATTGTCTGTTGGAACTTTGCTATTCCGATTATTTCCTAAACGTTTGATGTATTTAAATTTAAATTGATATCTATAAATTTCAATATTATTTTAATTAAATATATATATATATATATATATATATATGTTATTTTTTAACTATATGTAGCATTATATGACATATAATATAAATATTGGTAAAATAAAAATAGTAAGATAAATTGAGAAAATCTAAGAACGTTGTGGGCAATCCTCATCACATTTTAAACATGAAATAAAAGTAGATCGGATAAGAGGATTAAATGCTGAGCGTCCCGAGTGCACCCTCATCTGTTTACGCCACTGCGTCTACCGTTTTATCCGAAAGCGTGCAGAAGATAAGGTACCAGGGCCATAAATTGCGTGCGTTCAATCCAGAGAGGGTAGGAGGATAAACGTGCACGCGAATCAGGGGATGAAGAAGATGAGGGAAGGAGAAACGAGGAAGAGGACAGGGTCGGCACACTCCGCGGCGAATTTCTTCGCGGATTAATATTTGCGGTGGCGGCTGCGGGCGACGGCTTCCTACAAGGCGAAAAGGGAGCCTCTCTTCGCCAGATCCAGGAGATGGAACAAATAACGAACGCGACGTCGGAGACAAATGGGGAGGATCCATCCACGGACTAACTGTGGTAACGCGATACCTCCACATGAAAACCTTCGGCAGTCCTTGAAGAAAAGATAAAAAAAGATATTCTTGCCGAATGCGCGATTTCATTCATCGTCACTGAACAAGAATTCCCCCAAATAATTTTTTGGAAGTGGTAGGAGTACAAAATGATGCGGAGAGACGATAAAAATTCAGTCATTTTCTATAAAGTATTATTCAAGATATATACTTTCTATAATCTATTTGCGATTTTTTATACATATGTTTTTCTTGAATTAATTTGGATATTAAAATCTTTTGAAAGTAACGTTTACAACTTTTACTTGTAAAATAACGACAGCTTGTCGAGTTTGTTCACTACAAAGAAATTATGTCGATCAAATGATCGATCGAGTCGTTACGTATTATGGTTTATCTTTTAATAAAAATCGCGATATATTCGAACTTTCCGCAGCGCACATTTCCGCGACACCTGTCACCAACCGTCAAGTACGTTCCATTAAAAGTGGTGGATTTAGGTGGATCGCATCTTCGCTTGGCAGATATTTAACCGCAACGTTGCACAATGTCGATACTGAAATCGTAATGTCGCGATTCCAATGATATTTCAAAAGCAACTGTTCGAAAGATTCAACGGGACAGATTCAGAACTCGTAGAATTGATTGCACCAAGCGGAAGAAACATTTAAATTTTCGAATGAGTGAAAGAAGGACTAGCGAGCTAAGCAAGATCGACGTGCTGACTTTCAGATATAATCACAAATTACAAAAATAAATTACACAAATATGTAATTCGATATAAATAATACCGTAGACGTTTCAATCCTCAAGGAGGATCATCTTTCATGCTTAAACAATAATCAAAAATTCAATCATATTTAACTTTTCCTTGTTGACAATATATAATTATCTTTTGTTTACAATAAATATTCTTGATTGATTTTTGTTTTTTTTTTAGAAAAAGAAAGTAAAATATAATTTAAAATAAAGATGTAAGTTTCTCGAAATTAAATAATACAAACAAAGGTGCAATGAGAAGGGCGCGGTAAGAAGTGCGCAATTAATTGTATAATTTTTATTTAATGAATTCTCAAACGTTTCGACTCAAGTTTGAGTCATCTTCAGTGAACAACAATCGGTTAAGACTGCAACTCTAATGTGATAAGGTAAATGGTGTGTCGCCCACACCAGTTGCCATGTCGTGTGAGGAAAACTTATATATATCCCTAATGAAGCCATACACAATGTAATTGAAAATCGACTGATAGAGTTAAGTAATTTAAATTAGTTACACTTATCACTGAAGAGTTAAGCCATACATAATGTTGAAAAGTGAATAAAACAGAAAACGTATTGTCGAATGAAATTACAAAAAATAAAGTCAAATTTATAAAAGATATTACGAAAACGCCAGTGTGCTAATCAAAAGACTGTCCAACAATGTATATAAGTGGTAAACAAAACAAATTATTTGATCGGAACAATAATTAAAAACAAGGTCAATAAAAATTACAATTTATCGAGAACAGAGACTCACGAATGATGAAGGCATTCTGTATCTATTTGTAGATTTAGTGTTATCTTTTTATAATTTGAACAGCATTTCCGAAATCAAACGTTTTTCGCACGTTCCGTATCAAATATTTTAACTCTGTCCCAAGAAAAATCGTGATTGGAGTCCAATCTATGATCTGTAATGACGGATTTAGTATTAGTATTCCTGCGAATGTGACTACGATGTTCGCTCAATCTAGTCTTCAATTGTCTCTTGGTCTGCCCCACATAACATTTTTCGCAATTATCGCATTCGATTTTATAAACAATATTTTTATGTTTCCAAGGGGTTCTTGTCTTTCTGAGTTCGGATTATTCTCTCCAATCTATTCAGGCTAAAGAAGGACAATTTAGTACCATGATTATTACTAATAGCTTGGACTTTCTTTACGATGGCTGAGTTGAATGGCAACGTGAGCCATTTAGTTTTCTTGTCATTGTCCTTAGATTCATTGTCAATGTTTAGTATATCATCTTTCCTATGCAATAAAGTTTTTAACCTCCGAGCTCTGCAGTTGAATATAAACTTAAGAGGATAATCGTTACCCAGCAATGTGGAAACTACAGATTCTAAATTTTTTTATTGATATTGAGGGTGCGACAAGGAGAAGGCTCTATTTACCAAGCCGTAAACTATGCTTCTTTTCTGGGATAAGGGATGTTGTGATAGATAGTTCAAATATCTTCCAGAAAAGGTCGGCTTATGGTACCAATCGAAGTGCATAACTTCATTTACAACTTTCACTTGGTAATCTCCAAAAAGCTCAACTCCCCCGCACCAACCTCACAAGTAAATTGTAGACGCGGGTAGAAAGAATTGAATGTTCCGAGAATATTTTTGATTTTACCATGAGGGCCAAAGCTATATCATCAACATAGCGATAGTAAAAAGATAAATCAATATCTATGTTCCCAACCGCTCTCTCCTCGAGATCCCTCATCACCAAATCCGCTATAATCGGGGACAGCGGAGAACCCATGGGTAGGCCGAAAGTTTGTTTATAAATCTGATTATCAAATTTAAAATATGTGGAATGCAGACCAAAGAAACCGCTTTCAGGAATTCTTTCTTAGGGATGTCGCAATTCGACGCTATGGCTATATCCCATCGTTTGGAAATGCTGTCCATCCCCAAATCAAATGGCACATTAGTGAACAAAGATTTAACATCCAATGAAATCAATGAGAAGTCATCGTCAATGTGTACATTCGATAATTTTTGGATGAGTTGAAAGCTATTATCAATGCCAGTACTCAGACTTTGGAATGCTCTTCATAATGAGTTTATTAAGAGAAGATGCCAAAGCATATAGCGGACTATCAACGCAAGAAACGATCAATCTAAATGGAAAATCCTGTTTATGTATCTTCGGTAAATCGTAAGCCCTAGCGTTCCATCGCTAACCATCATCCTATAGTACCCAGACTCCGATATAAATTTCGATTTTTGCTACATCTTGAGGAGATCACGCAATTTTTTAATAATGATTTTAGTAGGATCTTTTTTTATTTTGGTGTAAGTATCTGTATCCTTCAGTAAGTCGTTGACTTTGGAAATATACATATCCCTGTCCAGTGCAACGGTCACATTGCCTTTATCGGCCCGAGTGAAAATTATATCTGGTGGTATATTGTCTAGTGAAAGAAAGAGTGTTTTTATATAATAATGATAATCCTTCATTAATGCTATTTTTAGCAGAGGTAAAGGACGGATAAGTTATTAATTAGTGATATAAATCTATTTCGTAACTGTAATTGAATATTCTGTGGGCATTTAGCAATGTTTTTCTCCACGTTTTTAATAGTTTCAATTACCATTTCTTAACGTCTATGTCTAGATAAAGCAAAATTTTCACCTAATTGAAGTAAGCATTGGACCTTTGTCGGGATCAGGTCAGGTGACAAGTTTAGGAATCACTTATCGTTCGAAGTGAACAAGGAACTGTGAGTGATGTTGTTGGAAAATGTGTCTGGATTGAGATGAATTTTGTAACTGAAATTGTTCGGCAAAGATTAACAGGGTGGAAGGAAAAATTAAAGGAAGTAGGAAGGGAAGCGAGGACGTGTAGTATGTGATAGCATTAAAATATAATTTATCATTGAATTATTCTATGCTCCTGATGAGATCTTTATCAATTGTAGATTGTAAAAAAAAAAATTATAAATACCTGCGCAAATTAAAGATAATTCGATAGCCGGGTTCCGAAGGGACCGCCACATAGGCCAATCCGCCACTGCGAAAGGTCC